GGCCTATGCTTATTGTATTGATTTCTTTCTCTAGTTAGTGCTCTTTCAAATAAAAATGTCCACAATGGGCATCCTTGCTTTGACTCAATGTTATTGGGATAATTTTTAGTGTGTCTGTTACAGTTAGTGCTAGGTTTTGGAGACAGTAATGTTTTTCATTATTTTGAGGGACAGTTGTTTTATTTCAGTGCTTTTTAATATCTTAGAATAAATGAGAACTGGCATCTTGTGAAAGACCTTTCCTACATTGATGGAAATCCTGTGGACTTTGTTGACAGCCCATCTCCTCAGTCCCCAAAGCTGCCTGCTCTCCCCTTCCCAAGTTATTGGGGCTAGGAAGACAGTGAACTTGAGTGTGGTTGAATGGCTGCCAACAAGAGATGAGGGTATCAAGGGCCAGACATACTGATGATAGTCCAAATGTCTTTGTTTCTTTTAAATCTCCCATCAGAAATCTTTGTTCCAGACTTGGAGGGGCTTCTTACGTGATTGTATTGGAGGGTATGGGTGCTTGGGGAGGACCAGCACCTTGGGAGGGAGGGCTCCTGAGCCTTTTCAGGGCTGCTCATCCACTTTTGGTGTCCACTTGCCACCCAGCTCTCATCTGTGGCTCCAAGAAGCTGTAACGTTCTCAGCGGCCACACCCCAGTAAAATGATCTTGGTAGATGGCTAAACCAAGTTCATGGTAACTGAAGGGCCTCAAATCTGATAGTGAGTTAATGGGGTATCTACCTTAAGCATGAGAAGACTTCCTTGGTGGCAGAAGCAGACACTGGAGTGCTGAGAGCTTGCTCAGAAATTGAGGACACTAAAGTCATCCACTGCACTTTCCAGGGATGTCCACATAGATGATGAGGTGGACACATGCATTGCCAGAGCTAGCTCAGTGTTTGGGAGGCTCAGAAGGAAAGTGTGGGAGAGAAGAGGGATTAGCCTGCCCACCAAACTGAAGGTCTACAGAGCCGTGTGCTGACCTCTTTGTTGCATGCCGGTAAAACCTGGACATACCACCATGCCAGAAAATTGAGTCACTTCCATTTCAGTTATCTTAGGATGGTTCTGAAGATCACCTGGCAAGATAAGGTACTGGACACTGAGGGCCTTTAAGCTGAACTGCCAAGCATTCAAACTACTGCAGAGAGTACAACTGTGATGAACTGGACATGTTCTCATACCAAACCTACATTGCCTGAAGGACTCTTATGGAGAACTCACACAAGGCAGGCACTCACATTGTGGCAGAGGAAGTGATACAAGAACACCCTCAAGGTCTCTCTCAGGAACTTTGGTATTGATTGGGAGACATGGAAGACACAGGCATGGGATTATCCAGTGTGGTATTAGTTGCTTAATTACTTTCAGCTGTTGCAGTTGTGTTGATTTTGCATGACCCCCTTTGGGGTTTTCTTGGCAAAGATACCAGAATGGTTTACCATTTCCTTCTCTAGCTCATTTTGCATATGAGGAAACTGAGGCCAACAGAGCTAAGTGACTTGCTCAGGGTCACATAGCCAGTAAGTATCTGAGGCCAGATTTGAACACAGGAAGAAGTCTTCCTGCCTTCAGGTTGAGCACCGTATCCACTGCACCAGCGGTCTGCCCAGCATGGTATGCCCACATCAAAGAAGGCGCTGTACTCCATGAACAAAGCAGAATTGCAGTTGCTCAAAAGAACCGTGAGTTGCATAAATTTAGAGCCATCTCCCTCCCAAGTGGTCATACAGACCATTTGTGCCTGACCTTGGAGCCTTCTGACCTCAAGTTGGTATGGCGGTCACAGCCAGACACACTGTACATTGACCTGATGTAGTGATATCAGTTTAGTCCATTGGGT